CGAGGGGGTGTTTCATATGGCAAAAACAAGTGTGATGTCAGGTAACCATGTAGGGAGCCACCAGCTCACATTCCGTCCGAGTATCAGATTAAAATCGACGGACAATAGGTGTGTATCATCCTTGGTACGCCACTGCCCAGCCGGCCCCAGTCCAGCCTGCTCGATAATCGACAATAAAATACAAAATATTGGCAATCAGAACTGGAAACGTTGTAAGAATACACATACATATTGGCAACTAGCAACATTGAGAAGCAGGCTATGTTCCGATATCAACTGCCAGTACTGGATTTCACTGTGCTGATATTACTGTCATTTGCTGTTCCGATTCCAGCAGCGTACTCTTGTGATCATTCAGTACTGAATCGACTGAATCCAGTGTACTGAAAATAATATCGGAACGGCGTCCAGTAAATTCAGTACTGACAATTGATATCGGAACTTAGCCGCAAAACAAGGGGGATGCACATTTTGTGTCAGATATGCCCACTTTTTATACTGTCAAGTGCACATTTACAAATTCTCTTGGAACATCCCTGCCTTTCTCCAGAAATGTTGAATGGGGTAGTATGAGGAACCCCTACCACCTTCAACATAGACCGAACAGGGTGTTCTAGAACACTGCACTGCGGTTGTGAAATCAGTAAAGGATCGAGGGTTGAGGATATTGAAAAATGCAATGAAAATAAGGCTTTTATCCTGTTTCTAAAGATTTTGGATGGGGAAGATGGGGTACCACACTATAATCTTCTAGCAGGGAATTGATAAAGTTTTCTAGAATAATTCCTTGGAATTAATGGAACTCGTTTCACAATCGAGTTGAAGATATCAGAAAACTCAACAATACTAAGATTTTCATGCTTTTTTCAACATTTTGGATGGGATAACACTTCCATCTTTTAATAGATACAAATTCAATCACTGAATAGTTGAAACACAAGGTGTCGCACCAATCAGTGTGTCACTAAACTCGCGAAGGTCCAAATATCTTCTACTTAGATTAGAGAAAAAGGTGAAAAAAATAAACATAAGAGCGACATTCCTAAATTATTTTGAAATACAGGGTGTCAATTTGAAAACTTCCCACCCTTATTGGGTGGTATGAATAAAAATGAAGTGCATGCTACTACTACAATTATTAGTATATTCTTCGCAGTATCTACTTCACCAAGAAGCATGCACTAATTTCCGGTAGTTTCGAAATGTAGTATCTACTTCGTTTTTCGTAAATACTACGTGGAACATACTAAAACTTGTATTAGTAGCAAGTACTTTGTTTTTATTCATATGACCCATTATCTCGGAGTAGAAAAATTTTCGAAAAAATCCCTGAAACACATCAACTATAATTTGAAGGGGGATGAGTTTTTATGCAAAATTCACCTTTCTTTCAACCCCCCAGCCCTCATCAGAGCCACCCCCTAGAAAATCTTAAATAGGAAGGGGGGTCAAGTGATACATCATTTTGCAGGGTTTTTAATTCCATACATTTTGGTACCAAATTTCAATAGGTACCATCGTCACCAAAAGTAACTGGGACACAAATAATGCATAATAATCTCCTGGACTAATTCTACTGTCATTCATTTCAATGTATTTAATGCATAGTTTGACAAATATTTGACAATAAAATTCATATAATAGGACAAGAGCTAATGTGATGCTGTCCCAGTTACTTTTGGTGACGATGGTACCTATACTTTATTTTTTCCCAAGATAGATTTTGACATTGAAAACTTTGAAACATAAACAATAACGCTTGACCCTAATTGGTCGCAAAATGAGGTGTTTCTGCAGGTTGACATCAGTTTTACAATAGCGACCAATAAGCGGCATTAGTGGCATTGTTTATGTTTCAAAATTGACAATGCCAAAATCTAGCTTGGAAAAAAATAAAGTATAAGTTTAACTGTTTTGAAAATATTTACAGTTGAAAATTAACTTTTTTGCAAAACCGATCTAACATTCTTGTCTTAGATTTTCATAAGCTATCTTTTAACATCAACTTTGAAATTAACCAGAGATTAAATTTAGCTGGAATTTTCAATCATAGATTAAATTTAAAGTTGATGTCAAATGATAGCTTATAAAAATCTAAGAGAAGAATGTTTGATTGGTTTTGCAAAAAAGTTAATTTTCAACTATAAATATTTTCAAAACAATTGAACTTAGGTATTAAAATTTGGTACCAAAATGTATGGAATTAAAAACCCTAAAAAATGATGTATCACTACTTGACCCCCCCCCTTCCCATTTAAGATATTCTAGGGGGTGTCTCTGATGGGGGCTGGGGGGTTTAAAGAAAGGAGGTGAATTTTGCATAAAAACTCATCCCCTTTCAAATTATTGTTGGAGTTAAGTTACATACAAATATATTCAATATTCAATTAGGTACAAAAAAATATATCTACTATTAGGTGTACAAATTCTATCGAGTGACTTAACCCCTCGATTGACATGTTTCAGGGATATTTTCGAAAATTTTTCTACTTCGAGATAATAGGGGTGGGAAGTTTTCAAATTGACACCCTGTATGGTGGCCGATTAAGTAGTGTGGTGACCCAAACTTATGTTTTTTAAATGACTCACCCTGTATATTTTACCCTCAATTTTAAAATTTTCGAATTTCTACTTCAGTTTCAAGTAACTTTTTCTAATAACTTCCTATACTCACCTATTTCCAGCTGTTATTGAGAAAAAAATTGATTTCCAAAATTTTAGTTGCTACAATTAGGCCAGGAAAGAGAGGTTGAACCTCGCAAACTCAACACAAGTCCTGTTTAATTTTTTTTCTGGTAGAACACGGGCTGGTTATTATGGGTCTAACTTTTTCCAACAAAATTCTCTTTGGAACATCCCGTCTTGTAGCGCTCCCGCTACATGTTACATAAAAAATACCTCGATAGTAAATTAAAGAGGACTAAATGCTCTACAATTTATCCAGCGACAGCATTTGTCTATCACCTACCCTTTACCTGGGGTGGCGCTCTTAAGTTGATTGAATAGCCTTGAAAAAGATGTTTTGGAATTTATTTATTTTTTACTAAACTGTGAAGGGAATCCACTACAAACCATACAGCACATACTCATAAATAATTGGCAGATTTTTTGGTATATGTTTTATTTAACGAGCAAGGATGCAAATAATTTATAAAAGTGTCAAAAACTTGCTTAATTCAAATGGAATGATTGATTTATTATTATCACATGGAAATGCTGTTTAAATTCTCTTTCTATGTTAATGTTCCAATATCAATCTTCGAGCCTATATTTTATTATCTTGGAATTTTGGGGATCAAGGTAAATTTTTTTGCCATTTTTATATGTTTCGTCCAATTTTACTACTTTCTCTTAAGTTTTGGTCTAGTGATGGCAACTTTGAAATCCCTTGTTGTTTCCGCTAAGTTTTGTCTGTACTAAAGACTTGACTAAAATGAATTGTTTCTGTTTATAAATACTTATACTAATCTGGCTATGTCAATAAGAATTGTATGCCTGATTGTACCTATGTCTTGAACAATAAAGTATGTTTTCACTTGATTTGATAATAAGGTATATTTTTTGACTACCCAACTTCATCTACATGTCCTGAAAAATTATAAATAATGAAATTCAAATGCCAGTACCTTTGCAATGCAAGCAATATTATTCAATTATAAACTTCAAACTAACATAAAAAATCAATCTGGAAATGATTAATAAACTTGAATTGTAACTCTCTAGGTATGTATGCCTTATGATCATCTGATTCTTCTGTTTCATAAATTTCTTTCCTTTGCAGTAAGTAATACTGGGTTTGTACTGTTCAAATTATTTGAAATCAACATGAGTACCGAGATGAGTACATACACAAGAGTGTCTAAAGCAATATGAAGGCTTTGATGGCCTGAAAATGCCTGAGAAAATGCCTATCAAAGCTAGTCTGAGAATGCGAGAGGACCTTGAAAATACTACCAGGCTCAACCCACTGATCTCAAAAATAAATGGATAAACATTCGTACCACTTGATTGGTTAAATTTGTGCGAAAATTTGGGGTCAATATTCTACGAACAGTTGTGCAACGGAACAGCCTAACGCCTGCGCAGTGTTTATCTTTTGAACAACTGTTCTAAATTTTGAAAAATCCTTCATTTTCATTGGCTATATTTTGGGCACGCACAGTACATGTATCTACAGCATACGCTTACAGCTGTCCCAGTTGTTTACATTATGACCTCGTAGATTAGCAGCATTGGAAGCATTCTTTGTTTTTCCATTTATTTTTAAGATCAGTGGCTCAACCAGGCAACCTTGATTGGTAACCAGGGCATAGCTGGCAACAATGAAGCAAGCAGTCTTACAAAACAAGGGGCTGAAACACCATCCAGCATCCCATTGACACACAATGATGAGCCATGCAACAAATTAAACAAATGGACAACGACCAATTATTGTCCACATACTGGTGACAAATTACAGAACTGAGACAGCTAGTAAAGGTTCATCACATCAGCATATCAGAAAAGTGAGCAGAACAACTACACACATGCCTCGACACATGCATAGAAATGACATCAGATTGGTTATCAAATGGCTCACCAGACACTGAACAGTGATAGAGGCAATAGGAAAGGCTGAAGATGACAACTGTAGATTTTGCAAAAATTTACTCTGAGACTCAATTAAGAATCTGGAGGGGTACTGCCAAGTGGGTCAACTGAACTATCCCCCAAGAAAATAACTTCCTTCGGAATAAGCCCTTAAGTAATTCTTGGACACAAACTAAAATGTAAAATCATGCATAAAGATCTAGGAACTTAGCAGTGCCAAGAGGATGTAGCCAAAACGACTCCCCACACAATCTATAAATATACTGTTCAAAAATAATCTTCTCTGAAGAAATAATCACTAGTCTGTAAAGTGTAGGAGATTCCCTCCTAGATGCCTTGTCAAGTAGGTACAAATTTATCATTCACTATTAGCAATAATCATATTTTTGGAAAGCTTAATGGAAATTTACCTGAAGGTGTTTTTTTACTTTGTCCGTTACTGGCATTGTTACTTAGCTCTTGCAATCTTTTATTCTTGAATTGTTCCAAAGCCAACGACTCCAAGCTAAGGGCCTGGGCTTTTTCCAAGTCTTCTTCGAATTTCTTATCGTAATCAGTCATTTTAAAAAAATTATCTGTACTACATCCTCAAAAGATTGCTAAAAAATACACTGCTATGCTTTTGATTTGCAAATATTTGCATAACTGAGACCAAAGATCGGCTGAAAAATTGGTTTTTAGAAACTTCACAAACCATTTAGGATTTTATACGTGGCCGCATTTTATTCATGTTCAGCCGAACGAACTTTTGTAAATAATAATAATTTAAAACAATTAGCATCAGCAATAATTAAAAACATAACAAAAATTTATTAAAAATATCACATTACAGACATATGTCAAATAAAACATCAACAAATATTTCATGGATGAACATAACCTCAAAGAAACGCTTCAATACGTCATCAATTCAATTTGCTGTGCACTTTGCCTGATCCGACCGGTTCCGGAGTGGAAAGTGTCAATAGACTTGAAAGGGACACTATACAGGGTGTCCCACGGTGGATGGCGTATTAGAAGTTTATGGGGAACTAAATAGCGGATCATTTTAAAAATTTGGCAACCGTTATAAACGACCATGATCTACACTTTAAAATTTTTGTTTATGTGGTGTTGCCCCTTCTACTCTAAACCAGTGGCAACATCGCTATTTCAAATGGAACACCCTGTATATGATTGCATATTTGGATTCTACGTAAAATTCTTAGCAGATTTTATGTGATGTACCCTATACCACAGCCTCCTATAGTTAACAAGCCATGAAATTGGAAATGACGGCAACGTCGCGTATGGTGCTTTTTTGTTATTGGGTTATGTGTTTCTGTGTATTGCTTTCATTGTGTATTGTTGCAATTTAGTATTTTTATGGGCATTATTGACGAAAAAGTGGATAGAAACACACCAAAATATTGCCAATATTTAGTTGATACCTGTTCCTTTGTGCTTTGATTGCAAATTTTTAGCAAATGGGTACAGGAGCAAAAATAAAGGTAAGGTAAGGTAAAACAATAAAAACTATATTAATATTTGTCTGCAAGAGCATAGGTCTCGATATATTACCTAAGATATTTAAACTTGTTCCAGATGCCATGAAACTACTGTGTTCCTGGGTGCAAATCAAACTATTAGGAGTTCCTTAAAAACTGAAGAAATGCAAACATTTTTATTTCCAAAAAAATTCTGAAGTGCAAAAAATGTGGATGAAAGCAATACACCAAGATAATTATACCCGAGATTATACAATAACGAAAAATTCTGTGGTGTGTTGTAAACATTTTGAAGAAACCGAAATAATTAGATTTGAAACAAACAAGGATAAAGGCGTAGTTCGAGAGTTCAAACTAAAACGTCCAACTCTTAAAAGTAGGTACCAGGTACCTCTTATTTTCGAAAATCAGCTCAAGTATTTGAATGGACTTGCCTTCCGAAAAAATCCCGAAGAAAGAAAAAGTTAGATTTTCAAAAGACATACTGAAACATAGGCCTATAACACTTTAGACTCTAGAAATATATTCATTTAAATCAATTATTTACTGTTCTTATTTACAAAAATAGTTAAATTATTCATTGAATTACTGTTTTTGGCCCTTTAGTACAATAAATTATGTATTTTTTGTGATTCATATTAATAAAATAAAAAATATATATTTATACAAACAAACACCACCAGCACCACTTGGCGGTAAGATTGCGGTGTTGCCTTTTTAACTTCATGGCTTGTTAAATGTAGGGGGCTGTGCTGTGCCTATACCTAATTTCAACTGTTTTGGAAATATTGACAGTTGAAAATTGACTTTTCGCAACTTTAAGAGGCTGTAAAATTGGAGCGATTAATTTTAGAGAAAAACTGATTTTACATTCCTATCTTACATTTTTATAAACTATCATTTGACACCAACTTCCAATTTAATCCATGATTAAAAAAAAATTAATCTCCGGTTAAATTCAGAGTTGGTGTCAAATGATAGTTCATGAAAATCTAAGATAGGAATGTGAAATCGGTTTTTGTCTAAAATTAACCGTTCAGGTTTTACAGACTGTGAAAGTTGCAAAAAGTCAATTTTCAACTGTCAATATTTCCAAAACAGTTGAACTTAGGTATAGGGTATATCACATGAAATCTGCTCAGAATTTTACGTAGAATCCAATTATGCAATCACATAAAGGGTGTTCCATTTAAAATAGCGATGTTGCCACTGGTTTAGAGTAGAAGCGGCAACATCGCATAAACAAAAATATTTTTAAAGTGTAGATCATGGTCGTTTATTCCGGTTGCCAAATTTTTAAAATGATCTGCTATTTAGTTCTCCATAAACGTCTAATATGCCATCCACCGTGGGACACCCTGTATAAAAAAATATTCCTGATATAACGGAAGACACTGCTATACCTAAAGTCTGTTTTTTTTTTAAAGTAATTCCCCAAGTCAAAAATTTAGTAACTATGTTGGCAACACAAGCCTTTTCTAAAGTGTGTTTTTTTTAAAGATAAAAGTCAAAGTGACATTATGTTGGCAATACAATGTAAAATTTAATTGTCAATGCTTTCAAATTTTTTATGTAGAAAAGACTTGTGTTGCCAACATAGTTACTAAATTTTTGACTTGGGGAATTATCTTTAAAAAGAAAACAGACTTTACATAAGAAATTTGAAGCAGTGACAATTTTACATTGTATTGCCAACATAATGTCATTTTGACTTTTATCTTAAAAAAAAAACCTGATTTTACAGTCGTGAGCATAAAAAGTGGGACACCCGACTGATAGGTCTTGTCATTTTTCGCTATTTTGGGGATCAGTCTTTTATCTAAATGGATTTTTTATGGATTTTTTGTCAAATTCAAATATGACAATCCCTGTTGCCGTAGGTTTAGCTGATGAGCTCGTTTTACAAAAGGAAAAAACGGTTGTCCCACTTTTTATGCTCACGACTGTACAGGGTGGGCCAATTTGGACACTTTTATTAGGAAACGTCAATTTCTGAGCGAGATACAAAAAAATTAACCCCTCACTCTGAGGTTCAAGTTTTATGAAATTTTGATTGGTGCAAACCGCATTTTGATATCTTCAGCCGTTTAGCCCTTAGAGGGCGCTTCGCGCTTCTCGATTTTGAGCAATAATCTGAAACCTTCATAACTTTTTTGATTATGGAAAAAATTGATTTCCGTAAAAACTTTCTGGAAGCACTTTTCGAAGCACGAAGCAAAATTCAGTGACGTTCTCAGTTTTTTTTAGTTGGTCCCATAGAGAAATACATATAAGGTTTGTTTCTGCAGAAATCACAAACCAGTCAGAGGGAATTTCATTGGTTGAAACTAGTTTCCTGACTGTTTTCAACCAATGAAATTCGCTCGGACTGGTTTGTGATTTCTGCAGAAACAGACTACCTATAATAAACCAAGGTAAGAGTTGACCGTGTTCCCATTTTTTATCAGTTGACTTACTGACAAAAGTTTTGTTGTCAACTGTGGTACACAAACCACATTTCACCTTAGACATTTTACACATAAATATGTGTAAAAATGGGCACTACAAAATTGTAGTGCCCATTTTTACACACTGTTGTCAGCTTTACGTCAAATGTGCACGTAACTGGTACTTTAAGTTTGATTTTCTACAATAATCTCATTCAGATCACTCTCGGTATAGATACGTTTCAACAGTGCCGGCCGCATATTCATTTTTTGCCAACGCAACTGATATTCGGCTAGATTCGTGCCCTGCGCCGTGAAGCGTTAGCAGATAATGAGCATCGCAACCAGACGTTGGCACTTCATGTGACTGTATGTTACAAGCATTTTATTGATAATTAGGTTCCATAAATGTTTTTTATGTCATACCAATACATTATTGTGTTTTTATACCTTAGATACCATCTACATAACACATTATGGCACGCGCGGGCATAAAGACGCAAAAAACAGTTTTCAATTAACTTATTCTTTATTAACAAAATATAAATTTACGCTGATAAACATATTATTTTTGTCAAAAAATTATGATGTTTGCACCCTGATGACAATTTGCGAAGAGACACTTTTTTCCCAGGTATTTATTATTCACAACCAACTGGTATGACATAATAGTATATTATATACCTAGGTAGAGAAGTTGGTCATTATATACCGAAAGCTTTTATAAACCGAGGCGCGCAGCGCCGAGGTTTATAATGCGTGAGGTATATAATGACTTTCTCTACCGAGGAATATATAGAATTTTTTTTACTACTGCTACTGCTAATAGAAAATAAAAAATTTGTTTAAAATCTGTGCTCTAATTATTTTTTGTGATCGCCCTCTTGAAAGTGCTGCCCTCTATCAACAGCTTATATAACTTCCTATGTACCTACAGAAACCTGTATTTTTTTTCAATTTGACGTATGAAACTGAAATTGAACCAATAGAAACACGACAATATCCTTGCGTCATGACGTCATTTTCATTATTGACCTAGGTATTTTTTCATTATTTTCATTATTAACCTAGGGAGAGAAATTGAATTTTTTCTTAGAAAAATAGATTGAATAATGTCTATTTCTCAGGTTAGTAGTAAAAAAAAGTTTGTATGCACCACGGGTACTAATAGATATATATACCCTCGGGCGACTTACGAACCCTCGGGCCAGAGGCCCTCGGCTTTGTAAGACTGTCGCCCTCAGGGCATAATCATCTACTTAGTACCCTTGATACATAAATAACTATTATTAAAAGGAAGGGAAGATTAAAGATAAGAATTTTATTTATATGAAAAATTCAGCTAAAACAATGGCATGATTATGTTAGATAAAACTACCGATGTCTTTGGAGCTACCCGATGGACCTTTTATACTATTTTATAGATTGTGAGCGAAAAAAAAAATTTAAATAATAAAACCCAAAAGGTAGAAATTGAAAAATGTCGAAAATATTGACTCATAATATTTATTCAAAATTTAATAATACATACACGCGCTCTATTTTATATGAGCGCCCTTTTTTCGCTATTTTATCAGGTTGATAGGAACAGAGATTGTGTCGCATTTTCAGGACGGGTCAGTTTGGGTTAATTTGGATTAGGTACTTTCCATGTCTTTACTTGAAAAAAGGAAACAGGAAGGAACAGCGCCTAGTGCGGTTTTTAAACGAAAACTAACCCGAACTAGCCCAAACTAACTAAAAATAACCCATGCTATTGAAAACTAACCGAAACTAACTCAAATCTGCCAAAAAAGTTCTGGGGCCTTTAAATAGACACAATGATTAATTTTTAAACTCTTAATAACGGTATTTCTTCATTCGTTATCGCATTTCGCATTGAAACATGTGCTAACAACTTACAATAACTGCCAATTTCCAACTGAATTTATTTAGAGAATATTTTCACGAACGCCAGGCAGGCTCTATAAACTGCAAACGTTAGTCCACTTCAATCATAATTTGCCTACGCTGTGCTCGAACGAACACGAATGCAGCCGAAGGTCCTATTACGTTGGCAGAAAATGAATATGCGTGCCGGCCCGAGGTTACTTTTAAGATGGAGCGAGATCTGACTTTGGCGCCTCTAATTAAGTAAATGCGAATCGTATACTCTATCCACCGATCTCAGTACCAAGAAAAAGTACTTAAATATCAAGTACAAGTTTCTTTTTTAATACGAATCAAGTACCAATACAAGTATAATAAGTAAGTACAAAAGGAAATACTTAAAATGTCAAGTAAATTGAATTGACTTGAATTGCCCAAATTCAAGTACGAGTACCAAATTCCACGAAAGTCAGAGTCAAGTTAGTATTCACCTAAACTTGCGTACTTGAAATGACATTCACGTAGAAATACTTCAAAAAATAATTTAAGTATTTTTTCTATCAAGTATTGTTCGAATTAAAAACAAATTAAATTATTGCTATCGATAATCTTAAACGGGGTGTGACCCAAAAATAAGTTTTAGAAAAAACAAATCTAAGAACAAATTTTCAAACCGCACTAGGTTACGACCAACCGTTGCGAAGATACTGTGATATAAAATTCCTACTCCTAGCACTGTGACGTCATATGCACAAACTGATTCCGACAGACGGCGCTGGCGCGCGTTTGCTGATTCTTGCTGCATATGTTAGCTCAGTTCGAACCGACAAGAGAACCGTTCCAGAACCAGTAATTTCCAGTTGTCCACCTATTTTCCAATAAGTTGAACATTTATTCTACTTGACAAATGAATTGATCAACTGGAAATTACCGTTCTAGAACGTTTCTCATGTCGGTTGGAAAAGAGCTATTATCGACATTATCGTATCGTTTTTGCGTTCTCACACACCTATTGCTGCGTCAGTTTAAATAGGTTTTTCTGCAATTGACAAGAAATGTCAGCATTTTTGACCGGTTGATAGGTCGCAAAACTCAAGAATCAATGAATAACAATACGGGAAACACTTTTCCGGCCTAGGCCGGGAAAGTGATTCTCGAACTGCTGAATAATTGGAACTAAAAGACAAACATTTAACAGGTATTTAACCGATCGCAGAAAAAATAGTATGTGTATTTCGGTAGAAAAGCACATTCTCGGCCGACGGTGTAAGTTGACGGGCGAGGCGTAGCCGAGGCCGGCAAACACCGAAAATGTGTCACTTTTCCACCTAAATACACAATATACTATTTTCAATTTTTGCGTGTATTTATGATGTCACGCGATGAATAGACAAAATTTTATTTAGTCGTATCTACCTTATTATTTTGAGTAGCGAAGCGAGATTTTCACAAGAGTTTTTAGAATTTTCTTTTTTATTTTCTGAATACAAGTTGTATTTTAAGGTTACACCCCCTTTAATAGGAGATATTCAGTATAGGCACCACTGGCACAGGAATTGGTATTGAGAGACGCCAGCTGGACTCTTCCTACCTACTGGCTGGGTTTTGGCTGCTGTCTTTTCACAGACTTACCGCACCCATTTACTCGCAAGCAGAATATCGAAAAACGAAGACAGGATTCAGAGCAGTGTGTCTACCTGATTGTAAAAATCACAGCTCCGTTATCCTGGACTATTTCTCCATAAAATTTCAATATGTTGAAGCTAAAAGCTTCCTTAATAAATAAAAAAAAAATTGGTTAATCTAGATTTCCAAAATTTTTAGAAAAAAAATCAGGAATGTGGCTATCAGGCTATGGCAAAGATATCACTAAGTGTGTCTGTCTGGATTGTAAAAATCATAGCTCCGTTATTCTGGGCTATTTCTATATAAAATTTTAGTATGTTGAAGCTAAAAGCTTCCTTAATAAACAAAAAAATATTTGGTTAATCGAAGTTTCCAGAATTTTTAGAAAAAAAATCAGGAATGAGGCCATCAGGCCATGGCAAAGATATCACTAAGGGCGGGTATTATAAAACTTTTTTGAGAGTTAACTAAACTCCTGGAATTACATGTAATTCAAAAAGTTAACTTCAAGTTAACTATCAAAAGCAGTTTTATAATACCCGCCCTAAGAGTGTCTATTTAATTGTAAAAATCATAGCCCCGTTATCCTGGACTATTTTTTAATGAATTTTTAATATGTTAAAACTAAATGCTTCCTCAATATGTTGAAAAATATTTGGATCCTCCAGGTTTCTTAGATTTCTAGGAAAAAAATCAGAAATCAGGCCATAGGCCGTAATGCAAAAATATCACTCAATGGGGCTTTCGGATTAAAAAAAATCGTAACTCAACTATCTTTGGTTTTTATCCAATCAAATTGTGGTAGGTGAAAGCTAAAAGGCTCCTGGATATATAAAAAAAATCTACATTTCCCAAAGTTTCCCAGATTTCCAGCAAAAAATCAGAAATCAGGCCATAGGCTGTAATGCAAAAATATCACTCAGTGGGGCTTTTGAATTAAAAAAATCGCAACTCAGCCATCTTCAGTTTTTTTCGACTCAAATTTTGGTATGTTTAAGCTAAAAGGCTCCTGGATATATGAAAAAATACTACATTTCTCAAAGTATCCCAGATTTCCAGGGAAAAAATCACAAATTAGGCCATAGGCTGTAATGCAAAAATATCACTCAGTGGGGCTTTTGAATTAAAAAAATCGCAACTCAGCCATCTTCAGTTTTTTTCGACTCAAATTTTGGTATGTTTAAGCTAAAAGGCTCCTGGATATATGAAAAAATACTACATTTCTCAAAGTATCCCAGATTTCCAGGGAAAAAATCACAAATTAGGCCATAGGCTGTAATGCAAAAATATCATTCAATGGGGCTTTCGGATTAAACAGATTTCAGAAACATATTTTTCTCTTTTTTTTTTTTTCACCAAGGAACAAGTCGGAGGCGCCCCTCGAGGTTTGGCGCCTGGAGCGCTCGCTCCATTCGCCTTATGGTAGGGCCGGCCCTGCGTTTCAAGCCATTCTTCATTCACACATAGATGAAGACTTTCTCCTTAGTCTTACATAGATACCATTCTGTCTTCTGAAATTGGCTATTCCAACTATTCCAGAAAACTGCGCTAAAAGCATGCGATTTTTTACAATCTTCCTAACTTTCAGGTTTTTCTACATGTTTTCCACCTTGTCATCTTGAGACATTTTGACCTTATGCATCCATAGTACTTTAGGATCTCCATATTTCTTATTTTCATTTTTATTTCTTCCTCCTCCACCAGCAAAAGCCACTCCAGTCCAGATGGACCAGATGTGTGAGGTTCCACCTCCATATCGAAAAGCTTTGTCTAAAAATGGTATCAGCAGTTATTTGTAGCCCACTATGCTCAATAGCCATTATCATTGGAGAGTATTTCTCAGGCATACCAGCTAGCAATAAAGAACCTACCCACACATCATCTTTACCAAACCCTGTTACTTTCAATTTCTGCAGTTTCTACAACTTTATCGACATAGTCACCCAGATTGTCAATTTTCAATCCTTGTAGAGATCACTGTCTAAAATAAATTGATTTTTCTTGTTTGCCCTTGATCTGCAAACATATGCCTTTCAATTTATCCCAAACTTTTTTCAGTTTATTTTTATCTATAATATGTGGATAGAATGCCCAATCTATCGTAATCAAGCACTATTCGCGCCGTCGCACAATCGTCCGCGTCACTTTCCGAGCCATCAACACAGCCCCAAAATCAGGATATTTTCGATTGCAGAAACAGAAGTACACTAGCCTGAAAGTTAACCGCCATTTCATGTTTAAGTGTTTCCGATCAATTTCCACGAAAATTTCCGCGAAAAATACTCACAAACTTCGAATTGCTGGACCCATAAACTGATAAAACGCACTACGCAGCCACTTTTAAGACAACGACAAAACAACAAAGTATATTACTACAGTAACACACGATCATGACATACTTGATGACATGTGTAGAACATTCTTAGGCTATGGTTGAACCAAATCCAAGCGGCAGTAATAACATTAGCGCTGGTCATTTTCATTACAACCTATCAAATGTGCATGCGCACTGGTCCTGGTAGGGCGTTTCAACCAATAGGAAGGCTGATGTTGGTTTACAATTCAGGTTATAATGTCATTAAGTACCGCTTGGATTTGGAAATGGTATAGATACAAACTTGACGCATAAATGTCGCGACCTATCATGATACAAAATAACAACATATTAGTCTATGCAACATATTTTCCAAGAACTTTCATCAGTTAGGAGGAAATATAGGTACTTTTATAACAAAAAAAAATTTACTGCACACGTGTTCTGGAATAATTTTCCACACACTAGTTTTTCGCAAAGGTTGTGTAAAGCACTTCATCCCACACATTTCTGAAAATTTTACTTTCCGCTTCAAAATATTGCCTTGTGACGGCCTTATCCTCTACGAACGTTGGCAATCATCTACTAGTGATATAAATTCTTTAGCCAAGATACTGTTCGACGTCCCAGGGTCACTTCTGCCTTCGATTTTTCCCTCGATTATGAGCTTGAGAAGTAGGTATTTGTCAATCCTGAGTATGTGTCCGAAGTACTCTCACTTTCGCTTTTTAAGCGTAAACATAAGTTCAAGATCTTTTGACATTCTCGTTAGCACAGCTTCATTGCGCACTCTGTCCGTCCAAGATATTTCCAACATCCGTTTATATGTCCATATTTCAAAAGCCTCTATAGCTTTTCACACATGGCGTCTGTCAGAGTCCACGCCTCAATGTCATAATAGAGAATACTGAAGACGAAATAAATTACTTGAATCAATGCTAAAATAAAAGATCGGTAAACCACCTATATGTACATATCTATTTTATTATAAATAATAAATAAACAATCACATACAATAAACAAATCATTTTTCAAAATATAAAAGAAAGAAATATCGTCATAAACATGAAAAAAAAAAACGAATTTTCAACTAAGCTTAATAGAATCCGGATTGCAAAACTTTGAATCGAACCATTTCCTATCTGGATTTATGAACGGTCCATTGTGGACAATATGCACTCTCGCTTCTCTTGTGTATTTCAGATTTGGTACCAACTTAGGGGTAATTAGGAAATACTGAGATGTACCTGGCTGAGAAGTCGACTCCATGATCAAATCAAATATTCGCCGTTCGTTATTAACATCCATTCCTAGAATTGATTATTAATTATTTTATTGAAGAATTGTTGTGTCTAATATATACAGGATGATTTACAATGATTAGATGCTATCTCTACTAATCCACTTGCAACCTAGAAAACCTTTACTGCACTGGCAATGTAAATCAGGGTGTGGATGAATATGTGTTTTTATTTATGTATGATAATTTTATTGACTGGCAATTGAAATTTATTAGGGACCATTCAGAGCTGGGCAGGGCTTGAGTGCTTTGTGCTTGCGAAAGTGCTTGAAGCACTTTGAGGACTTGAAAGCCCTGTGCTTCAAGCCCTTTTATAGATATGTAATTGGGGCTTGCAAAGTCAATTACTTTAGAAAAGTGCTTGGTAATTTGTAATTGAAAAAAGTAATTCAAGCCCTTTCAATGAGCTTCAATTACTTTTAGAGGGCTTGAAGCACTTTTGGGAGCTTGAAGCCCTTTGAAAGGGCTTGAAGCACTTTAAGAGGGCTTGAAGCACTTTTGGGAGCTTGAAGCACTTTGAAAGGGCTTGAAGCACTTTAAAAGGGCTTGAAGCACTTTAAAAGGGCTTGAAGCACTTTGAAAGGAATTTGAATTGACCATCATTCAACCTATTCCCCACTTAAAAATTTTCGATCGTATTTTGTCCTTTTTTTTCTATTATTTGAGCTTGAACCGTCTTATGTCTTTTCTCTCTTAACAATGGAGGTTTTGAATTTGAGCTTAGGATGGAATTAAAAAAAAAAAATGAATGAACTTATTATTCAAATAAATAATTAATTTATATTGGTATCCTATTTAACTTTATCACTGGATTTTTTTCACTTTTCCCCATTGAACATTTTGAAAACCTTAAAATTGAATTACCATGTAGTACCCCAACTACCCCAAGTACCCCAGAACTACATCTCAAATAAAACATACTACTGCTACTCTGTGAAATTGAAGTTCGTCTCTACTATACCAATTCTGTGTGATGAGTGTACGCGGTAGCTTATGCCACTTTGAGAATTTTATTACAAATTCAAAGTGCTTTAGGCACATTTAAAGAGCTTCAAGCACATTTAAAGAGCTTGAAGCACATTTAAAGAGCTTGAAGCACATTTAAAGAGCTTGAAGCCCTTTTCAAGGCACCCCAAGCACTTTTGATGTGCTTCAAGCACTTTTCAAATCACTTTGAGGGCTTTGTGCTTGTCAAGCCCAAAGCACTTTGAGGGCTTTGTGCTTGTGAAGCACTTTTGGAAATAAAAAGGAATTTGTGCTTGAAATTGAAGCACTTTGATAGAGGGCTTAGGGCTTAGTGCTTCAAGCCCTTTTACTGAGGGCTTTGCCCAGCTCTGGGACCATTAACATCCATGGAAAATTTTAAAAAATCATATCATTTGTATTCTGTGGTACAGTATAAAAACTTACGAAATTACACAAAAAACAAAAAAAGATGAGAAACCACGAAAATTATAAAATACTGAAAATATAAAACAACAAATTAAGTAAGAACTTTCATGTAGGTTTAGTTAATTTTAATGGTACTTCAGACTCTTTATCGGCGTTTACAGATTTGTAAGAAACATGGAATTTCGAATGCATAGGTACAATTCATTCATACAAGAGCGCCTAGACCTCCATAGCTGTAAATCCCTCAGTAGTCATGACAATGTGAAATAGTGAAAACTATAGTTGTTGGTATACGACAACAAATAAAAGGGCTCCCAAAGACAAGTTTTTGAATATGTCTGCACTTACCCTGATTGATTTCATCGACACACCTAAAGGGTACCGGCGTCAATTCTTGCAAAGACAACATAAAAGTGGCTGTAGCAACAGCTCGTTCACCTCCACTTTGTACTATAGGGTTTAATTCTTGTAAAGGCTCGCCACTTCTGTACGTAACCATAATTGAAATACCATAATCAGCAAAATCCTGGTCGTTGTCGCCAGAACATACTGTCACTTCTCCAGCGCAACCCATACGTTCAAACGCACTAGCAAACCTCAGGTTTATAGCCGCCACCACTTCCTTTAAGGGGTTCAACCATTGCTCTTGCATTTTGTTCATTTTACCGGATATTTTATCGATTTCCTTTGAGGTTGTACTAATAGTTTCAAGAAGTCTCTCTATAAGACTGTTTCTGTCTTGATATTCTTGCATTTCAACATCATCCGCAGTGTTTAGGCAAGCTATTCTTGAATTTAGATCTTCTTTTTCTGTTTGTAGATTCTCTTGATTGTCTAAAATAGGATTTTATGATAAAACACCTTCATAAGTCAGAAAACATATAGATGGGTTTACACATAAAGGCTGCTAAGTGAAAATGCAATAAGTAGCTAATTCTGCATCAAGCTTGTATGGCCAATTTTGTTCAGTGATATATGTTGAAAATTGGACAAAAATATGAGAAGTGAAGGCACTGAAAACAATTAGAAAGGATGTACGATTTGATGAAAACATCTCGGGCAACATACATAAGTAAAACCAAACCACCACAGAAGAGAAGAGAAAAATATTGAAGAACATGAAAATGAAAAGAAGTCTATCTGAGAAGATACTTAGTAATAAATTCATGAATAGAGAAGGAACTCGAGGGAAAAAAAAATTACTTACAATTGGAAAGTATCCTAAAAGAACTTAAAGCGAATAAAACTGGAACATGGGATACTCCTCCACATGTGAGGGCTACTAACTGATATGTGAACAATATAAACAAAAGGATATCCAGAAAGCATCTGGCAGCACTCAAGTTTCAAGAATTATGTGAATGTAAATGATGTCTGCTAGTTGTGAACTCATCTGTTATCAAATAGCTTTTCAATATTTCTATTATTTCAAGAATATGTAAGTACCACAGAACCTGATAACCTGGAAATTAATTGATGGACTTTCCACTACAGATTCATTTTTTTTTTTTGAAAACTTTGAAAAATCATAATTTTTTTTCTATTATAAATGGAAAGTTGAAATTTTCAGCGATTCAATATGTTGGCAAATTAGGACTGGGTTCTATCAAAGAAACGAGGAGAAAGACTTATCAATTATCTCCAAAAAGAAAGGATGTACTGCATGAACTCCTTCAAAAAATCAAAAAAGAGACGTTGGACATGGAGAAGCCCGAACTCAAATACGAAAAACGAGATCGATTACGTCTTGAGGAATAAAAAGATTACTGTAAAAGACGTATCTGCCCTAAATCGCTTTGACACTGGTAGTGATCATAGGTTGGTATGAGCTAAAATAGAAATAAACGTGAAAAAAGAACGAAAAAAGCTAACAAAATACAACTATTTCCCATTTCCCACATCAGAAACAATTCAGGAAAACCTTCAAAAATACCATACTGAACTCAACAAGAAATTGTCCAACAAAAAAGCACTGAACATAGACGACCTAGAAAACAAAATAAGGACTGAATTTAAAACGACAACCAAAAAGATATGTACTACTACCAAGAAAAATAATTCAAAAATAAAAAAGACTATCCTATTCAAAAAGGCATTAAGGTTATGTTTCAACAAAGATTGATACAAGAAAGCATTTACATATTTTCAAATATTAACTATCCGTAAGTAAAGACATTTTATATTGAAAATCACATCGGATTATTGGCAACTAGGCATTTCATGCAAAAATCGACCTTATGGATGTTGGATCGCAAATTATTTGTTCACTGTTGTATCTGTCGTTTTTAGTTTTTAATCTGTAGAAGAAACTTGGAGAAAGGGACTCTGGAATATAACGAAATCAACAAATCTATAAAAAAGAAAACAAGAGAAGATTTGAGGCAGTACAACACAAAAATGATAACAACGACTATCGAAAACAACAAAAACATGAAAATACCTAAAACACTTAACAATAATGGTTGCCTCCAAATAAACCAACTAAAGGACACAAACGGAAACATCAAAGAAGACAAAAAAGATTTAATGGATATCATAGAAAATTTCTACAGCACACTATACACAGCAAACAAACCAGAACAAGCAATCGAGGTTGATGAAACCATCCTCAATGTTGGCTCCGAAGACCTGCCTGACATCACCATGCAAGAAGTAGAACTAGCATTGTCCAATGAAAAACAGTAAAACACCAGTGGAAGATGAAATTACAGCGGAAATGATAAAACTTGGTGAAAGCACTAATGTAGAATCAATGAAAATTCTTCTTAAATGTCTAATAGAAGGTGTAATTCCCCAAACATTTTTTTTTAGTCATTTATTTAGCACAATATACTAATTCTATGTTAGAATATACTGGTTCCGTCTTATTCTAAGATCTAAAACAAAATATCAAAATCACATTACTTATTAAAACTAACAATCATAGACTATAGACTACAAATCCAGTCATCCTTACAATAAAGTTAACAATTTAAAAAAAAAAAACAAAAATCAATCCAAATCAGAACAATTAACCATCTCAAGGTACATACAAATTATGTTTTTCTGCGATTGACAAGAAATGTCAGCATTTTTGACCGATTGACAGGTCGCAAAACTCAATATTCTGGTATTTCAATTATGTTTCAATAGTTGCTAAGGAATCAATGAATAACAATACGGGAAAAACTTTTCCGGCCTAGGCCGGGAAAGTGATTCTCGTATTGCTGAATAATTGGAACTAAAAGACAAACATTTAACAGGTATTTAACCGATCGCAGAAAAAATAGTATGTGTATTTCGGTGGAAAAGCACATTCTTGGCCTTCGGTGTTTGCCGGCCTCGGCTACGCCTCGCCCGTCAACTCACACCGTCGGCCGAGAATGTGTCACTTTTCCACCTAAATACACAATATACTAATTCTCAGCAAATGAACTTTCAGTTGTTTCTTAAAACTATACATTGAATCACATGTTTTTATCACAGCGGGCAATTTATTGTATAAATCGACTCCCCAAAAAAATAACGTATTTTAACCAGACTTTTTATTTTTTGGTGCAATGAAAAAATCGTTTTGTTGACGTGTACTGTAGTTATGGATTTCATTATTATATATTATTTTGTCCATTAAGTATTGAAGGGCATGTCCATTCTTTATCTTGAAAATAAATACCATAACACTGTACTTAATATAATATTCAGAAACAGGCAACCATTGCAAACTTTCTTGCATAGAACGGATTGAAGTGTATCTGTTACATCCCAAAATCACCCTTATTGCACGAGTCTGCATTTTTTGTATTCTTCCTAATGTATTCTGGTTTAACAAAAACAAAACACTTGCACAATAATTAATAATATGTGGTAGTACGAGTGTATTATGTATAACAACTTTAGTCCAGAAACTCAAATATGGACTGCATCTTGCTAGATGATTAATATTGTAGCTTAATTTGCTTATAATTGAATTAGCATGCTCCCCAAATGTCAGCTGATCATCAATTATTACTCCCAGATACTTAATTTTTCCATCAATCTCAATAGGATACCTATCAATCTGTATATTAAATTTGTCTTTACCAAAAGCCCTTCTAATTTTTTCTGGTATGACAACCATAGATTTTGTTTTTGATGCATTTATCTTCAACTTATTCACACACATATAATTGTACAGATTATCCAGAGCATTATCAGTACTTTCACCAATTCATTCACATTCTTAGATACAGAGTATACTAGAGTGTCATCTGACATCTGCAAACAGATGAACATTAACCGGAGGATGCACCGCATTTACCATATCATTGATATATAGGACGAACAATAAAGGCCCCAGTATACTGCCCTGGGGTACACCATAGTTATTAGTTCTCTCAGTTGATATCTCCCTACCCAACCTAACTACTTGCCTACTATCCACCAGGTAACTATTAATCCATTTCAATACTCTTCCACGCAATCTCAGTTTATGCAATTTCTCAACCAGTCTCTGTCTATCGATAGTTTCAAATGCTCTCTGAAGATCCAAGCAAACTGCAACTATACCATAGTTGTTGTCTAAGCCATTTTTCCACTCATCGATTACACATTGTATGGCTGTTTCACAACTGTGCTTTTTCCTGAATCTGGACTGGTTACCTGTTATCAAATTATTACTTTCCACAAAATCAATTAATTGCACATATACCACCCTTTCAAGAATTTTTTCCACAACCGCCAGCATATTTAATGGTCGAAAATTGAACGCTACATTCACATTAGGTTTCTTTTGAATTGGCACTACAGTAGAGAGCTTCAACCTATCAGGGACAGTACCTATTTCTAACGAGAAATTTATTAGATTTATTAGGGGATATTCAATTCCCACATATAAGTTTCTCAATAATTCAATATCCAAATCATCTGGACTTTTTTTGATTTTGAAAGAAAATACTATACTTTTCAATTCTTCCCTTGTTAGGCTGAAATCCGATAAAATGAGGTCATGTTGTTCAACATAATCTGCGTTTAGCTCAATTGTAACTGGAATTTGTTCACAAATATTCTCTATGCTTTCAACGTAGTACTCATTTAGTCTCTCACAAATTACTCTACTATCATTCTCACATTCACCATTTTCAAATTCGATAAATTCTATACTGTTTTTATTATTTGAAGGTATAATTTGTTGAAGTACCGTCCACATTTCACTCTCACAACATTATTTCTTTTTGGTTTATATATATCACGAGTTAGCTCTAAATTGTCAACTTTATACCTTTTGTACCATTCATCCCCATCCTTTACAGCATTCTCAACTCTTTCATTCCACCATGGGTTATATTTAGCCAGTATTTTTACTTGCTTCTTGGGCGCAATTTCGTTCAGAGCGTCCAAACAATTATTGAGGAACATATCACACTTAACATTTATATCAAGATTACCAAACATCCAATCAACACCGAAGAGTTTTTTCTGCACACCCCTATAGTCAATATTTCTCCCAGAAGTTTCAACAAAAAAGTGCTTTTGGTTTTTTTTGCCCCAGATATCAATACGGACAGACAAAATATAATGGTCACTTATTCTAGGGGTATCTAAAACATTACAATAACTAATAGTCATCACATTTGTGAAAATCAGGTCAATTAACGTACCTATTCGCGGGTCTAGTCATTTTTGTAAATAACTGGTTAAGTGCTGCCTCTTAACTATATAATCTTAACCTATTTGTATATGTATTAACCAATTCAAATAGTCCCCAGTACATCGACCCTAAAATTTTGTAACTCATGTACACGCCAAACTTCCTGAGCGGCTTCATAGCCACCATTCTCAGGGACGTCAGAATGACAACTTCACGAAGAGCTAGCACGACAATGTCCCATCGCCCATGTTGAAGATATGAACAAAATTGTCCGACTTGGTGTTATGAAGCCGCTCAGGAAGTTTGGCGTGTACATGAGTTACAAAATTTTACGGTCGATGTACTGGGGACTAAAATTAAAATCACCTGCCACAATTATTGGCGTTTTAACGTCACATATATATTCTTCATACCAGCCCTCGAAAAAATCTAAAAAAATCTGCATTACTCGAACTTGGAGATCTATAGATGCAAGCAACTCTAAATAACTTATTGTAAATTTCGATCTTCAAACTCAAAATCCAATAATCTTTATTATGAGACAGCTGTTGTATGTTAATAACTCTAATCCTATTCTCAACATAAATCTGCACCCCACCTGTATGCCTGCTAACACTATCTACTCTCATACACCTGTAACCCTCAACAAATACCTCAGACGCATCTATATTCTCAGTTAGATGAGTCTTTGATATACATACCACACTAGGTTTCTTAGTAATTATTAAACTATGTATTTCATCAAAATGTGCATAGGTACTACCTGCATTAAAGTAAATCAAACTAAAACTAAGAGCACTCTTGTCTTTATCTATTCCGGAGTAGGCCTAAAAAAGAATCCGTGCATTTTGACAAGCATTGCTAATATCAGCTGTGATAACATTTTTCGAAATTGGAACAAATATCAGATTCTTACAAGGTTTTTTACATAGCACTTGCTGTAGCAGCAGTTGCAAGTATTGCTCTTCCCTGTAGTTGCCCAAATCACACCACATAACATTGCCTTCACTATATTTATTTAGTCTACAACAATATTCCTTAAGTTTTGAGTTAAATTTCTTGATGATTTTATAATAATTATTAGCTCTTTGCGTTGAAACAGACGTGAATACAATAGTTGTATGTGTACAATGTCTGATTTTGCTATTTATATCCCTAAAGAGAGGATGTTTGTTATGTCCAAAAAAATAATTTGCCCCACCCACAATGACAACATAATCGTTTAATGTCTTCAGTGATGTTCCTGAACAGAGGTGTTATTATTATCTGTATCATTAGCTTTCAGTTATTCTGTAACCATTTATCCAAATAGCGACCATTCTGATCACATAACAACAGAAGTTTTTTAACATCAATGTCACTCATCGAACGGGTCACTTCAATGACAATATTTGGGGTGAAATTTCATCATTATTCACAGCAGAAATTGGTTCATTTATATTGGATTTAACAGGCTGTGTTTCCTCCACTATAAGTGAGTTCTGGGAGATGGTTGATCCAATCATCAACTCTGCTTGCTCCTTGAAATGTTCAATTTCCCTCTGATAAATTTTATTTTCAGCCTCCAATATTCTGATGGAGTCAATAATAATACGATTTACTTCCATAAGCTCCTGGTATTGCTTATTCGCTTTATTCAACTCCTCTTGCATAATAACCTTTTCTGAGGCCAACATTTTTCCCTATACTTCGTTTTTCGTCCTCAAATATATCGTTCTGAAAATCTTGGGTGCGCTTGAAATTGTTTTTCTCTATCTGTCTCTGCTTTTTCAATTTTTCTTGCAACATTTCAATCTATAATCCATCATTTTGAAACAAAAGATAATAAGGTTGTCAGTGCGAGAACTACTTTGTATTCTATGCTATCTTTATATTTACTGATAACAATAGGCTTCAATAAAGATTAGAAATAACCACTTTTTTTTTTTTTTATTTGGTCCTAGCATTTCCAATCACAGAAAATCATTACCTGATTTTATTGATTTTTCATGTGAATTCCATTGAAAATTCATATACTAACACACTGTTCGATTCTACGATTTTCGCGACACACACCAGTATAAGTCAAAACTGTAATTTTCCATTTTTTCTATACAAAAATACACAAAAAGACCGATTTGATGGTGCGATAGCATTGATAGCAAGCAGTTTGGGTTAGTACAAAAAGGGAGATAAGTTAAGAATCGACAACTTATCAGCCTATTAGTTTACTCCCTCACCCATACAAACTTCTGACAAAGATAATAACAAATAGACTAACAACTAGATTAGATGCCTATCAGCCCCCGGAACAAGCTGGCTTCCTTAAAGGTTATAGCACAATAGAACACATACAAACCGTTCGCACAACAATAGAAAAATGTAACGAGTACAACGAGCCGATACACCTCGCAGTTTATGAAAATGCAACAATCACCGTCAAAATTACGGAAGAAATAGAAACAAATAAAATTCAAATAAAAAGAGGAGTAAGACAGGGGGACACCATCCCCCCAAAGCTGTTCACACTTGCACTGGAAGATGTTTTCAAAGCGCTAGACTGGAATAAGAAAGGAATCAAGGTCGATGGCAAGCATCTGAGCCACCTACATTATGCAGATGATGTAGTACTCTTTAGCCAGAATATATAACGGAATTACAAGAGATGTTGGAGGAACTTCAAAAAGAATCAGCAAGAATAGGATTGACCATGAACTTAAAGAAAACAAAAGTCATGACACCTGAAAATATACAAATGCATATAGGTGACCAAATCGTTGACAACGTCCAAGAATATGTTCATCTGGGACATTGCATCAAATTAGGCAAACAAAATTAAACCGCCGAAGTAAACAGACGTGTTCGTTTGACATGGGCAGCCATTGGTAAACTGTCCCACGTATTGAGAAATCAAACTATCCCAATAAATTTGAAAAGAAAGGTCTTCAATGCCTGCTTATTGCCCGAGATGACATACGGAATGGAAACGACATTCATTGTTAAATCAGCTAACAAGCTCAGGACCACCCAAAGAGCCATAGAACGGATGTTGGGAGTAAGCCTTAGAGATCACGACCACATCACAAACGAGAGTATTAGACAAAGAACTAAGGTTGAAAACGTCATATCACGCATAGCCCACCTGAAATGGAGCTAGGTGGGACATGTTGCTCGACAGGATGACTTGAGATGGTTAAGACGGATCATTCAATGGAGACCTCGCATACCTAAACGCAGCGTTGGCAGACCACAGTTACGCTGGCTCGATGATATCAAAAACAAAGTAGGCAACAGATGGCACCAACTGGCACAGGACAAAGAAACATAGAAGAATATAGGGAAGACCTATGTCCAGGAGTGGACTATGAAGGGTTGCTGAAGGAAGAAGAAGAAGAAGTTCCAAGTATTTTCCCAATCCCAAATGGCAAATACCATAACCACAATTCACAATTTCACTTCATGAACTACATTTTTTGGCACAATAATATAATACTAAGTGTACTTACTTCCTAATTGATCGTAAATCTCAAGAAACTCTTGAAACCCTGGATCAATGGGTGTGTGACCTTTCGACAACCCTTTGGCCTTTTCTAGTAGGCTTTTTGCTTCTTGCATAATAGCATCATATCTAGCACTAACTGACTGAAGAATATCTCCGGTTTCTTGAATTTTCGTTTTCAAATCGATGGTTTCATTGTCCAATAGTTCGATAACTTGACGACTCGCCTCAATTAATTCAGACGTTGACTCTAAGGTTTTTATTAAGGATTTTAATTCTTCGTCATACTTCATAGAGGCTTTCACTAGATGATACATTTTTGGCTTCAATTTATAAATTTTAGTATGGGCTTCCGCTTTAATTTCTTCAGGATTTTTTTTATTATTTTGCATTGTGAGCAAGTGCTGTTTGGCCACCGCTATTCGTCTTTCAATACCGTCAGCCTGTTGTTTTTGTCTCTGAATCTCGGTTAGTCTTTGTCGGTATTCCTGGATTCTTGCATCAAATTTACTAATTTCAGCATCATATTTTTCAAGTTGACTTTGTAGTTGCTGAACTTTTTTATTCATTTCACGAGAACGTCCTAAAATTTATCTTTATCATCAATTGTATAAAAATTTTAGTTCTCTACCTTTCACTTGCTCCAATTTCAAGACATCCAAAGACAGCAAGTGACCATGTGCTTTAATTTCATTCTGTCTGGTACTTCTTTGTCCTGAATATTGGGAGACGCTTATTGCATATCTGGAATTATCACTGAAAAACACTTTTATTTCCTGAGGCACACTCTGATAATGATCATTGGTGCTTTCGTCCCCCACAGGAATATTATTCAGGTAATACGTGAGACATAAATATCTCATAATAGGTTCTGGAGCGGTGAATAAAGTGTTAACATAAGTATAAAAGCCAAATCTTCTAAGACGTTCAATTGGGATTCTGGGTTGATTGTATGGATCATTAGTTGGACCTGAAAATGTATTACATTTAAAAAATATTAGCTTAACAGACTCTATAAACTACCAAGTACAGCAAGATTAATCAAATAAAAAAATTTACTAGTTTTTTTTTTATATCATGTAAGTACCATTGTAGCTGTTTGCAATGTTTGTTAATCAGATCTTACCTGAATATACCACATTTACAGACAATCTTTGCTGTTCTCGCAAAGATCTAATAAGCAAATTCATATCGTCCTTTTCAGTACAAGTGAAAGCTAACTTGTCCCTCATAGGTATCATAGCTTCTACATATTTCGCTTTCGTTTCATCCAAAACATTAACTTCTAGCATCATGGGTTCATACACTTCACCTTTGAAAAGATGTTTATTGTTTCTAATCCAAAGAACAGCAGTGTATGCATCATTATTCAATCCTCTGAGCTAAAAAATCATAATATTATTACTTAATTGTAACTTGTTAACAAGTGAATACCTTATTCAGTCTAGTTTGCTTGACATTTTCTACTTTGTTTTGTTCATTTTGCAAAAACCTTATTTCTGAGTTAGCTTCAATTATTGCTGCATTTATTGGATCTTTTTGGTTTTGGAGTTTAGTTTTATGACTTAACCATTTGTTAATTTCTGAAGATAGAGTGGGTGCATCTTTATTCACTGAAACATATTCCATATAAATTTTTTAATAAGAATTTTAAAGTGATTTTTAGCTTACAGTGTGTTAACTGGCTAAGTGTATCTTCATGCGATTTTTTTAATTCCTGTAATTTAGCTGCTGCTTCTCGAATCTGGTTATCCCACTGACCAACTTCTGCTAATTTATTCTGACACTCCTTCTCAATTTCTTTTATATTTGATTTAAGTGCTTCCACATTATTACTGGTGGTATTCATATGGTTTTCATTGTTTCGTATATTCTGTTTTATTTTTGAATTACTCTGTTGCATTTCTTGCAAACATTGTTTATGGGATTGGATCACTTTTTCCATTGGTTTAATTGCATTTTTATATTTATCGTATATGTGTTGGGCTTGCGCCCTTTCAGCTTTTACTTTGCCTAGTTCTGCTCTTTTATGTTCATATTCTAACCATGCCAATTTTCTATTAATATGGGCAATTCTCTCTTTGTATTTAATTTTTTTGTTGAAGTTTATAACTCTTCCTTCCAATCTAGCATTGGCATCTTGCGCTTCTTGCAAATTTTGTTTTTGTTGTACAATTTGTTCTTTCAAATGTTTATGTCTCTCTCTGGCCTCAATTAAACCTTGTTGTTTTGCTAGTAAATCTTCTCTACATAACGCAATCTGCGTTTGCTTTAACAATTCTTTCTTGTTCAATTTTGCAAAATCAGCAACACGATCTTGTGGTAGAAATTGACACAAATTATCTACTTGTATATTAAATTCTTTTATATACTCTTGCACATTAGCTGCCTTGCATATTTTTCCATTCAGCTTCCATTGTGTTCTATCCTGCGTGTCAAAGTCTCTTGATATTTTAACTATGGCATCATCTTCTTTGCCTTGTAAATAAATGTTTATTTTGGCAAATTCGCATCCATGTTTAACATACTCAGATATTCTGGAAAAATGTGATAGAAAAGAATTTATTGGTAAATTTTAAATACAGTGTTTTTATGAGCAAATATTGAAAACTTAACCCTGATAACTGCAGGATATAGGTAATATGAACCATCATTACAAATTAAAAAGTTTAGGTATGCAAACACAAAACAGTTTAAGAACCAGGTAAAAATTAAATAATCTTGGAAATAACTATTTTTCGATTTCTGGAGGAATAACTCTCTGAATCTCTTATTGAAAAAATGTAGATCGAAGTCAAAAAAAAGATGCCCTATTGGATCATTTGGGGAGTTTTTATTTCTAATTTTTTAAAATCCATGAATCTTATCTTATTAAACGATCTGCTGAATCTGAAAAACGAAAAATATACAGGGTATCCGATCCAAAAATCAAAATTTCCGTCAATTTCCAGTGAAACCTGAAGTCGGGAAAACTTGTCATACATGCATAAAAATGACTTTTTGTTGAAATATCAACCCTACCAAGCTTCTTTAATATCTATAAAAAATGGTAGCCGGAAATTATCCTTTCAGCTCCCACTACATGTTTTAGACAATGTTTTAGAAAACTCTTGGGATCATTTTTTGTTAAAATTTTCGTTGACAGTTCAGTGTTAATATTGCAGTAAAAAGAATTAAGGTCATCAGGATCCAGCTTGCTTAAAGTGACTAAAACATTCCTACACCTTGGATCATCCACAATTTCCCAAGTTGCCTTTGATTTTTTACAAAAATTATTCATGCTATTTTGAAAGTATGTCCGCTTGGAAAGCCTGACCAATCTTCTGTAAACCCTGTGGTATCTGTGTCAAAATAATTTGAAGATGTTGAATTGTTCATTCAGTTCATTGTTCAAAGGCTCTAATAAGTGTAGCTTGGGACTGGCAGAGGCGGCTAAGCAATCCTGGTTCTATGTGGGAAATCAAAGTGGTGATACCACAGCAGGTCAATTAAAGGCTCACTTGGAATCCAACAATCTACCAACTCAGGTTGCTGAGAAATGAATACATTGCTTCCTTTAAGCTCTCTGAAGAGCCTACATATGATTCATGAATATTGAGACCAGAGTTGTAGCCCGAAGATACAACAGTAAAACCCTTTGTTTTCATCAAGAGGCCGAGGACCTTTAGATCATTTAACAAATAACAAACAATCCTCGAAACCATGTCCAGAATCAGCGATAAGTGTCTATCACCAGAATGTGCGGGGCCTAAGAATCAAATTAAACGCATTAATGTGTTGCACAGCAATTGAGAACTATGGCAGTCTTCCGAAACATTCTTGGGCGAGTCTATCGGTGATGCTGAACTTGGTCTAATAAACTATACAGTTTTTAGGTGTGATCGATCTATCTATCACAGTTCATGTCTAGTACCTGCGGGGGCTCATAAATAGCAGCGGAAAGGAACCTTCCCGTAATGCAAATAATATCATATGTAATCAACCAAGTAACCAACGTTGAACATGTATTTGTTTCGATAAGTCTAGGGTCTAAAAAGTTACTCATTGGGAATGCATACATTCCACCTACCTCTCCATTGGAAGTATATGAAGCGTTTGCCGAAGCTGTGTCACTAATTCTACAGGATGCGGTGTCGGTTAATAATTATGTATTGTGATATTCTGGTGTGTGGTGACTTCAACCTCCCCAGTGGCGGATCAACCATGAAGCAAACGACGCACTCTGCGTCGGGCCCCCGGAGCTGAGGGGCCCCCTCACAACCGAGTACTAAAGGCATCGATATTTTTTTTTTTTTAACTCAAAAAAATAGAAAAAATTCCAAAATTAAATTTTGAAAGAGAAGGAAACGTTGTATACCTCTAGGGAATCCTGCTGGAAAGAGTATATTAGCGGGGATGTGTAGAGCCCAAGGAGCATCCGCGCCATTGCCAAATGTATTGTTATAGGTAAGGTAATATCAAACTTTGGTAATATGTTGCGGTAATAGATATATACCCTCGGGCGACTTACAAACCCTCGGGCCAGAGGCCCTCGGCTTTGTAAGGCTATCGCCCTTAGGGCATAATCATCTACTTAGTACCCTTGATACATAAATAACTATTTAAGCTTTTAAATTGTTTCAAAGATTATTCAGAGGGTGGACGGGACGGGTTAGTTTGGATAAGCTCTTTTTAATCAAAATACCAAAATACCTACAAAGACTAGCAGTCATTACAATACATTTTGCAAGGATGTCTCGAGCTCTCACTACAACTCATTCCAACTAGCCTCCAGCAATAATTTATGGCACTTGTTGGTGGAGTACGGTGAGTACAGTACGGTACTTTTTAGTTTTTGTTTTTGGTGGCTTTGGTGCCTGTGTGAGTAGGAACTAGTGGAGTGGGTGTCGTGTTTTCATATTATATCATATGTTCTCAATACACTTGTTTCTGAATTAAATCTGTTTTTATATTTGGCTGTAAAAAACTTCAAAAATACAAATAACTTTCGCACACTTGCCTCATACCCCAACACCACAAGAAAAATACCTAAAAAGTATGACAGGGCCCCAATTTTTTTTTTGCGTCGGGCCCCGAGCATCCTAGGTCCGCCACTGAACCTCCCTGACACATTCTGGTTAAATGGTGAGTATGGTGCCGCTCTGCTTACAGTTCTCAGTAAACAAGCGACGTGTTTGTTTCATTGAATGGCTCTTTTCAATTTAAACCAGATCAAATACAAATGTAAGAAATAGGTATTTAGACTTAATTTTTTGTAATGTTACAGCTAATGTGTGTGCTGTGCAGCACCCTATTGTGAAATGTGATTCTCACCACCCAGCTTTGTATTTTGAATTGGTGACTCACAACTTATCTCAGCAACTCGACTATGATTATGGGTACTACAACTTTAACCTTGCTAATTTCGATGATATTAATATGTATTTGGCCTCTAGTTATTGGATTTTTTCATTGGCAACTAGGGATATTAATGTCATGGAATTTAATGAAACTGTCAATGCTGCAAGTGAAATATTCGTACCAAGGAGAAAGACAAAGAATTTAAAATTTCCAAAATAATTCAGTAATAAATTGAAATCAAATATAATTGAAAAGAAATTTGCCCATAAAAAATATAAAAACAGTCTATCTCCAAGTGATTATAACACTTTCTCCTAAATAAGGTCAAATTGTAAATAAATGCTACAGGCAGATCATAATAAATATGTTAATGAGTTAGAAAGTAACCTAACATCTAGCAAGGATTTCTGGAGACATGTTAATTCAAAGAGAGATAGTTGTGAGTTCCCAAAGTGTTTGTTCTATGGGGATGTAAGTTCTGATAATCCTACAGAAATTGTGGATTTATTTGCTCAGCATTTTGCATCTGCGTATGTTAACCACCATGAGAGGAATATTGATTTTAGTTATTCTAAAACTGTAAGTATGTACAATGATTGTCCTCTTGTGATTTTACTATTATGGAGGACTTTGGTAAATTGGACAAATTGAATAATAATCTGGATTGTGGACCTGATGGCTTGACAGTTCACTTTTTAAAAAATACAAAATTTGTCCTCTCTGAGAAAATTTGTTTTCTATTTAATTTGTCCATTTCAGTTGGCATTTTTCCTACCTGTTGGAAAATGTGCTATCTAACTCCTATATTTAAGTCAGGGGATCCAGCGGACGTATCAAATTATAGGCCTATCAGTGAAACATCTTTTTTGCCAAAGATTTTTGACTCTTTGGTAACATCTAGAATAACTCCTCACTTCAGGAATGTTCTTTGGGTTGTCCAAAATGGATTTGTGAAGGGAATATCCACAGTAACAAATCTAGTAAAATATCAACACGACTTGGTGGAAGCTGCGGAAGGCGGTAGTCAGGTTGATTCTGCCAGCACAGACTTTACTAAAGCATATGACAGGATCAACATTTCCACTCTTATAAGAAAACTTAAGGGGTTGGGGGTAGCTGGAAGTTTATTGTTGTGGGTGGAGAGTTTTTTGACTGATAGGGTCCAAGTGGTGAAAATAAAAAATATCATTTCGTCCCCAATTTGTGCTTTGTCTCGAGTTCCACACAGGGGACATCTGTCACCTTTGTTGTTCAATTTTAAGATAATTGATGTTTCAGACTTCATTCTTCCCAGTCGTATTAATATACGCGTATGACTTGAAACTGTATAGACTGGTTACTGGTTTGGTTTCAACATAGGAGGAATCTAGACAGCTAAAAGCAGATCTTAATTGCCTTGCCCTCTGATGTGGAATTATTGACTGAGAATTAAATGTTAAGAAATTCAAGGTTTTATCCTTTTTCAAATGTCATGTAGTGTACAGGAATACCCCGTTCCTGTGGAATCCCTGAGGTTGTGTAGGGTTCTGGTCGGCAAGGGGAAGGAAGGGAAGTAAAACACCGATGGCGAGTTGAAGGCCAGATGGGTTTTTAATAGTCAATCAGTTTTATGGTTATCAGTCGAACTATAAAAAATTAACAAATATTGTTGTGGGGCAAGAATTAATTTAATAACCATAATATACCGAATATTTTGCACAGGTACCAAATCTAGATATTGTAGTTTATAATATACAAATATGAAATAATGATTTTTAATAATTGATTTTTCTACATCTGTTGGTGTTTTTAAAAAAAGAATGAAACTAAAACTAATTTAAAATATAATATATTATATTTCCTGCTCTAGATAAATCGCCCTTAATTTCCTGCACTTAAATAATTGGGTACATCATGAAATTCCTATCTGCTTTAATATTATTCTCCGCTCTAGTACATATATATATTATTCTCTACCATGTGCCCTCTTTTTCTTTTTCTTTTCTTTCCTTCTTTTCTCTATTTTTCCACCTCCTTCTTTTCTTTCTTCGTCTTACAGTTTAAGTATCAAGTGCGTTACTTGATTTTCATATTCATAGATCTTAGATAAGCCTTTCTTTATATTTTATTTTAAGCAATTTTTTGGGGCCTCAACAGCACTCATGCTTGCGTGGGATGCTGCAAATATGGCCTATTATTTCCCACATTTATCTTAGTTACCTGTTTGGAATGTAATTTTTCTGGAGATAATAAATATTATTATTATTATTATTATTATTATTAATAAAGTCTGTGGCAAAATATCGTTACATAAAATAGGAGATGGACAATCAGCTAATGATCGCCGATTCTCTAATTGAATTAAGTGAATTTGCTTACCTATAATACCAGACACAATCCTTGTTTTAGGATATAAAACGCAGAAATTCGCCAGAGGCTATTAATGTGCTCTACTTGATAGCCGGCAGGAAAAAGAATCAAATGTGTTCAATGAAACCTGAAATTTATCGGTGTGTGGAATTTCTACCCTACACAAGGTCACAAACAGGTGTCTTGGTAAAACGAGCGCATCATTCTCAATCACTCCACATAAAGGTGCTTATGATAATGCGACAATGGCAATAAGATCTGGTTGGTACAGTAGTCATAATATACCCATATGTATTGCTTGGACAGAAACTCGAAAGAGTGAAACCGTTGAAAGACTTAGGAGTAACTTTCAATCAAGACCTTACATTCAATCTCCATAAAAGAGGGATGTTATCTATTACATGGATAAATAGGTAGCCACAGACAAGGAATCTTATGTGGCTAAACAAGTTTGTTTAGTGCAATATTCAGCATGTTCCTGGATAGGCTATCATTGTTGTTTTTTTTTTTGTATTTTCTTTTGCATTTAAATAAACTATTTTATTATTATTATTATTATTATTATTATTGAGTTTATCGATTGCTCTTGTTTTTTTTTGTTGTTTTTTATCATTTATAATATGAATGTATAATAGAATTTATCCACAATCATCAAATAATGGCAGTTTTATCCACTCATATGAAGCGTCTAAAGTGATACTTTATCCACTAGTAGAATAAAATAACTTTATTCCACTAGTGGAATAATGAAATCAAGAAATACGAAATTTTTATTTTATTTATTGATATTAATATTAACATCTATATTAATAGATACTCCGTTGTTTGATTTGTCTCCTATAACTTCGTTGTTGTTGGTAAAAAGGTGATAATTTCCATCAGCTTGGGAACGCACATTTATGGGTGTTTTGGCAGAATTACCAGGAACAAGAATATAATGTGTCTCCTCTTGTAAGGGAGATTTTCCCCTTGAATTTTGTTTGCAATGCTAAGCTTATTGGAAATGGAATCCTCCATGTGTATGTACGTGTGAATGTGGATAAAACGTTGTATTACATTTGTGTTTTAGTTGCATTTTATCCACTTAAGAAAATTAAACATTCTTGAGTGGATAAAATGCCTCCTAAAACACTTATACAATAAATAGCTATTATTCTAAAAAATGTTAAAGGTGGTATAATATAAAAAATCGAAACATAAATCAAATTATTATTATTATTATATCAAGAATATTTGCAAAGGAGCCCTAAAACTTCTTGGCTTTTTAGTCTGCACTTTGAAAGACTTTACCAATATTTTTGCACTAAAACTGTTTATTGTTCAGCAGTAAGATCCCTAATTGAATATGTTTGTCCTGTCTGGTCCCCAAGCTACCAGGTTTGTATAAGTATGCTGGAAATAAGGGTTCAAAGACAATTTCTTAGACATAAGGCTATAGGCTAGGAATTCTGTATGAAAATATTAACTTTGATAAATGACCTATATGTATTACTTCACCTTCCTACATTAGAAATCCGCAGGAGAAATTTTAGCATTTGTTTTCTGTAAAAAATTGTAAATAATTTAATTGTCCCCTCGAAAGTAAAAACATTCATGTACCTGCTAGATTTACAAGATAGAATGAATTGTTCAAGATAATATATCACAAGACCAATTATGGCTATTTTAGTCCTGTATCGAGAATCTGCAGAGATGCTAATCAACTTCCAAGAGAGGTAGATCTCTTTAATCTATCTTTCAAGGTGTTAAAGACTAAGGTTAAAGAGCATGATACGACAGGATCTTCAGCTTTAAGCTATTAGATATTAGATTTTATTAATTAATTGTTAATTTAATTTAAATTTTTCTAACAGTAGTTATTGTTATTCATAATTTATTGTGTTATACTGGCTGGTCTGTTAATAAAGAATTATTATTATTATTATTATTATTCATTGAGTATTTTCTTATGTACCTAAGTAATGAAGAGAGCGCATATTTTCCCAGAAGCTTCCAGGCATTTTACATGTAAAGGGTTTTCTGGATATTTTGTGGTTTTTTTCTATTTTATTTTTTCATACTGACAATAGGAAAAGCCGAGGGAAAAGCGATATCAAAATTATTCAGTAACAGCGGGTGAAACTGATACAATGGACTGACAGAAACACATTCCACTCTGATCAGTGGGGGGTTTGTGATCAATGGAAAAGTGAAGATAGTTTAGGGAAGTTTACCCTTTGCCCAAGTATAAAGTCGACCACGTCCAAACCCACCCTCATCAGTTTCACTAACAAATGGCATAAGTTCCATGTCTTATCATACTGAGAGGTAGCTACACTACTTTTAAAAAACTAGAATATTGGTGTACAAATTTTTGAAGCTGATTTATCATTTATGGATATACCGAGGGACATAAAGTCTGTTTAAAACCGAATTTAAAACCTGACAACAAGCGCAAGCCAATTCTCAATCCTTCTAGTACCTAATAGATGATAACATTACTAGGTAGAGAAACCTACTTCCGAGTTTAAATACAATACTTTAGAATTGCCGAACCCTGTTGTACGATACATCAATTAGTTTTTGTATTAAGACAAAGGGCAAGAGAGGTAAAATAGTAGTTGAAGATGAAAAGGGGCAAGGTGGTTTACCTATAGAAAGAAATCTGGGCCTGGGCAAGGGGTTGTGTGATGATATAGCTTGTCACTAAAACTATTCAGGATTTGGACATTCACAATCTATCAAGTTTATAGGCAGACTATAAGCTTGGGTTTCTATTCTAAAAGTTGGGGTGTAATTTCACTTACTTTGTACCTCTTCCTACAGTTTTAGGGCTGCCACCTAAACCTAGAATAATAGCGGCTACCATCGTAGATTTGCCGGTTCCATTTGGCCCAATAAGCATATTTAGATTTGGTCCTGGCGCCAGTTCCGCATAGTTGTAGGTAACAAAGTTTTGGACTTGAATCTTCTTGATGAACCCCGGCTTAAACATGTTTTCGCCGTTTGATTATCAACATTTGATTCGAGAAACGGATTGTTTGTTGGGTTGAAGCAGGTGAAGGATTTTCCATTCTAGAATCTATAGATAGAGCGGGAAAATTGGATAATGGTTTTTTTCATTATCCTAAATTGTATTACATCGGTATTCGGTATTTCTCTTTATTCAACGGCATTAGAGAGAGATGGAGTGTTTTCATTTTCGACCACTTAATGACAAGTTGACAAGCAGCTGATTAGCGAAGCTGATGCCATCTCTGGTGGGGGATTCTCATCCTCTAGTCGCAACCGTCGCAACCTATCGTCCCGAACAGCGTTGCCAACTTAGCGGATTTTCCGTCATATCTAACGGATTTTGGTGAAGGGAAACGGAAAAAAAACAGTTTCAACGGGTGACGGATTTTTTAACGGGAACTAATGGCGTTTCCGATTGGTAAATCTAGTGCGGAACTAGTGCAATTTTTTCTATATCTATCTTTTTCTTCTACAGGTCGATTAAAAGGATGCAAATACACTCAGTGCACACTGAATGTACCAATCGGAAACGCTATAAGTTTCCGTTTAAAAATTCTAACTTATGTTCTATAAATGTAATAAACTGGTTGTTTAGCGATTCAAGCTACTTTTGGTCTGTAAACAAGCCTTTACGGAAACGTTGATCCGACAAGCCCGATCACCAGCTGATGTTATCTGTCTTTTTTCAATGGTTTTATTGGAAAAGGATAAAATACAAACAGCCGATGATTGCGTGAATCAGTTCAGTGTTTCTAAAAACGTCTAAAATCAAATGACAATTACTGTATTCCTTTTACCCGTTGAGTTACTCAGAGCTGCTCAATGTCAAAAGCTTGAACGTTCCTTTTAAAAGTGCGTTAAGCACTCTAGTCGCTCATAGTGCATCCCCTTTTCCCCTGATGCACCAAATTTGCGGGGGGTGCAAGAAGACCTTTTAGGTAATGAAAGTAATGTTAATATTAAAAAATAATGATAAAATCTGAATTGTATGTTTTGGAGTCACTCCGAGGAGCTCGTTCGGTGCAACTCGATGTATAAAAGGAATACAGCAAATGTCGTCAATGTCGCTAACTCTGCATGATTTGGTTGGCCCTACTGAATATATTTTATTTGTTTAGCGCATTTCGCATTTTTCATTCTGACGGATTTTATTGACGGAAAAGAAAATGGTTTAACGGATTTTTGACGGAAATCTACAGCAAAGTTGACGGAATTAAAAAAATAGTGTTGGCAACACTGGTCCCGAATTGTCCATTGCTTTTCTACGGGTGAGTCGGGACGATAGGTTGCGACTTGGGTTGCGACTATAGAGGATGAGAATCCCCCCCCTGGGTACCGATTCTCAATCGGGGGGCTGGTGAGTTAAGACATATTAAAATAATGAAGTTTATAGTGACATTTATCTTGGAATGCGTTCGAAATCAGTCTGGGTGTCACACCGAGTGCACACGTTCGAAAATGAATTGGTATAAACTCCGGTTGACTTTCACGCTAGTTCGAAAATGTCCGGGGTGCTACCCAGTGGGCACTTTTTCTTAACCAACTCTGCCGCTTTGTTTTTTAACCCGGGAGTACACGCGTGCCGGTCGAAAGGACCGACCACCGATAAAATCAGTATTAGGAAACTTGACAAAAAATTTAAACATGAAAATATTACTATAAATCATAAGAATACATTAATTAAAACCTATATCAGCGAAAAAAAACATTTTTTTTTGTCGCAAACGGACACAATAAAGAATTAAAAATGCGGAAAAATTATTTCCAGCGGGGAAAAACGCTCTGGTACTGGTCGTGACGTCATCTAGTATGATCTGTCAGTGTCTGTCAGCAACCGTCCATCATACCGTGAGTTGGTTTTGAAACACTGAGTGCTCATTTTCCGTCTTTTTTCCTTATGATGAGAGAAGAACAGGGATAAAAGAACAAAACATCAACTCCGAGCGTTTACTCGAACTCTACATAATAAATACCCGTTAGCAGTGTTAATTTACGTTTTTCTCTGATTTTTTAAAATTTCATCATTTATTAGAATTGGTTTACTTAACTTAAATTTAATGATCAGCTCAGCATTATATGGATAAAACGATATACCTATTAATTAAAACCGAAGAAGGAAATTCCAAAGGCCAATCCGACAATCTGTAATTTGTGATATGGTAGCAAAAGTAAGTATGTGCGAATCTTTTTTTCTATTATACTTCAAAATTTACAATTCGCCGCAGCACAAAACAACAACAAAAAACTGTGGAAAATGTGGAAATCAACCACTTACAAATTAGGCAATTCAAACCACGTGACATTCAAGATGGCGTGGCGGCCACACATGGGCCAAAAAACACAAAAAAATATCTAGTTTCTGCCGGAATTGATAGTTCAGGTACCTAGTCAACAAATATTTTATTAAATAATGAAAATAAAAGTTGTAAGCAAAACTGTATGCAAAATAATTTAAAATACGCATAAAAACATATTCAAAATAAACTTGCTTGGCCGCCATGTCACATTGAATTTTCCGTTTTGACAGATGGATTGAATTGCCTAATACAATAAAGTATGACGTTTGACGACAAGGTGAAGCCGGCGTCACACGATGTGTCGCCTTTTAACGTTGGACAGATAGCGATTTGTGGCATCGTGTAGCCGAGCGCTCATCGGATACATGATACATTTGCCGAATGCTAGATTAAAAAACACTGTACCCAACGTTGGATCGATCCAGCGTTAGGGCCAATGGTTGGACAAATCTTGTGGCGCCGGCTTAACGCAAAATGATACTACGTGACGTCATCCAAATTCGCGCGCATTTAGGGTCGTTTGAAATGCTTTTGATTCGCGCGAAACTTTAAACATTTTTCACCAAATTATTATTGAGTTTTAGGGAATAATATTTGGGGAATACTCTTTCAAGGCATAAATAAATGATTTGAAAAAATAAATAAAAATTTGTAATGTTCCCTATTAGGCAATTCAAAACAGGTGACATTCAAGATGGCGTGGCGGCCACACATGGTCCAAAAAACACAAAAAAATATCTAGTTTCTGCCGGAATTAATAATTTAGGTACCTAGTCAACAAATATTTTATTAAATAAGGAAAATCAAAGTTGTAAGCAAATCTGTATTCAAAATAATTCAAAATACACATAAAAACATATCCAAAACAAACTTGCTTGGCCGCCACGCCACATTGAATTTTCCTTTTTGACAGATGGATTGAATTGCCTTAATTATGCCACTGGTACGGTGACAGTTTTGTCCATCCAGGGGTGCGTTCAAAGACGGCAATGCTTATGCCAAAACTTACTTTTCCCCCTCCACCGGTAATGCCGAAACACGTAGGTTGGAGCCGAACTCGAACGCAAAATGTCAATTTTTGCTTGGTTGAAGCCGTTCCTGAACGCAGCCCAGGAATACCTGATGCAGGTTTTCCACTACCCATTGGCCCAAAAATATTATGGTTTTTTGTTAAAGTATACCTACTCTTTATTTTTTCCCAAGATAGATTTTGACATTGAAAACTTTGAAACATAAACAATAACGCTGACCCTGATTGGTCGCAAAATGAGGTGTTTCTGCAGGTTGACATCAGTTTTACAATAGCGACCAATAAGCAGAATTAGCGGCATTGTTTATGTTTCAAAGTTGACAATGCCAGAATCTATCTTGGAAAAAAATAAACCATAAGTTCGTTGTTTTCATAAGCTGGGTTCGGGATGGCCAAGCGGAGCTCGAGTAGAGTTGGAGTGGCGTTTTTATCACGTGACCAAAAAGCTTTTGGAGTGTATTAGTAAAACCGAACGGCCAAGGTGCATTTGGAGTTTCTTAACTTAACCTATCCCACAAATGACAAGTATTATTTTAAAAACAACCAACGTTTTTCGAGTCTTTTCTATGAATTTTTGGTATTTGGTGCCTATATTTGATTTTGTTGAAGACGTTTATTTCGGCGACTTGTCTTAGAGCCGTTTTACACGGCAAAGTTTCTTCAAGAAATTACTTACGAAGTTGTTGCCGAAATATTTCGTAAGTCAACTTTTCCTGTTTTACACGACAAGAAAAACTTACGAAATATTTCACGAATAAACTTTAGAAATGTTCTATAGTTTTTGTAGGCGTGGCCGAAAATATGCGTAAGTTTCGGCGCACACTGAAAGGCAGTTTCTTTTTCGTGGAGCCGATGAAAACGTCATTGAATTTCCTATGTAACAGATAAGGATAGACTGCTCATCGGTGAAAAAAATTATGCACCCAAAAACAGCTCGGCAAATAAAAAAAAAAAAAAAACAAACTTTATTTATGGAAGGAAAAAACAAACTCAACTATATGAAACTGCAGGAGGGTACAAAGATTCAACAACAATTAGAAAACGGAAGTTTTATTTGTTTTGGTTTATCAAAGTATGAGGTTATGATTTGATATTATGGATGGCAAAACGTAACTGCGCCTGCGTATGACTAATATTTTCACGAAACTTTTGCTAGACTTTTATTTGCCGTGTCAAACAGGAAAAAGCGAAACCAAGAATAGTAAACTTACGAAATATTTCGGCAATAATTTCGTAAGTAATTTCGTGAAGAAACTTTGCCGTGTAAAACGGCTCTTAAGAAGTCATCAAGATTATCATTGGAAATTTCAGTGAAATTACGCATTGCTTGCATGTCAAATACGCAGTTTAATAGTAGATTATACCACGAGTCAATAATGGTAGCTACTCGGATTCGGAATGTTACTCCCTCGCCGCTAACGCGGCTCAGTTCGTAATAATCCTCGGGAATAATAGCCATTATTGCGAGTAGTATACTCTACTTTATTTACGACAAATTAATTTATTTGAGATTTTCAATGAACAAATTTCATCCGTCTCATAATTTTCAATACAAATCCACAAGCACTACACGTTTGACACTGACACTTTTGTGGAATAATGACCATTAATCCCGCTACTCGTCATTAATCCCTGGAGGAATAACATATGTCATTATACTGCCAAAATCCCAAATATAATACGCACATTATTATACATTAGTCGTAAATAATAGTATATTACATACCGAGTAGGGAAGTGTTTCATTACTGTCGAGAGTCGAGAGTCGAGA